TTTTTGAAAAGTACTCTAAACTGTATAAATAATGTAAAATTAAATTGAATTTATTAGCCAATCAGACAAACTTCTGCTATCCATTTTAGGGTGCGGGCTAGGGTGTTAAGTAGTTAGAATGGAACTACATTAACTTATTTCGGGACTTAAACCATTATCGTCAAAATCAAAACCGGTTAAACTAGCTAATTTATCATGTCTGTTAATACGTTATAAACTATAATAACTAGTTTAGCTTTCACATGATTAACTGGTTATAATAACTAGTTCGATGGTTTTATATAACCGGTTAAACTTATAAAATAGTCTTTTACTATTGATATGCCAATACAATTAGTAAAATTAGATATTAAAAAGTAAATTTTCCTCTTGCGGACTATCTATTGTGTGAACATATTTCGTACGTAACATGCGCTAACTCATTAGATCGTTTCATCTTTCAAATTATAACACATCAAATATTTACACAAGGTTTATGCAATTGATTAAAATATTTATTATTCGGATAACTGTTAGATTGCTATGCGTAATTAGTATGTAATTTGCAAAATAATTTTATATATTAATCAAATATTTAAAATATGGCTTATAAATTTTGGTTCAATTGTTAAGCGATTAAGTAAATAAAAAAGCGTAATTAGTAAGTAATTTTTTAAATAAAGTTTTATGTGATCAACCAGATATTTATGTAATTGTGAAGTTCAAGAAAATAATCATTCGAATAAGAAAATATATTAAATGTTGCAAAATTTTAATTAGTATATAGTGTATAATCGATATGTAATTTTTGAACTAATTATGTAATAAAAATAATGAGAAATCTTTACATTTTTTCAAAGTATTTTAAATTCAAGCTTTATATTTGATCTTAAAAGATCACCAATTTTTCTTTTAATATTACAAAATTCAATAATGAATATTCATAATCTTATGGCCACAGATTGTAAAAAGGAAAATACAATTAATGAACCAACTAATGAAGAAAATATGATTAGTGATGATGAAAAAGAAAATTTAATTAATGAAATAGTTAGTTAAAATGAAAGTATAGTTAATAAAAATGATAAATATAAAAGATAAATCAGAACATGTCATCCAGTTTGGAGTTATTTTTTATGAAGTATTTGCAAACTGTATGAATAATTATGTAGTTCTGGCATAGGTGTTAATACAATTAAAAAACATTTTATGAAATATTACAAAGTATGTTTTCTGTTAAAAAGATTATGTCATATAATACATTAGATAATAATAATATTGTAATCATTAGTGCATTGCTTTTATAATTAATTATTTGTAACTAGTAGTTTAGAATGAAAATTTTATTACTCTTATAATCAAACTTAATTCTTGGTATAAATTACCAAGTTAACAAACAATTTCTATTAAAGTATAATGGACTTATGACAAATAATCTGAAATAATTAAAGAATATTTTAATAATCATAATAATAAAGTAGCAATTACTACTAATATATAAACAGTATATATAAATCAAGTTTATATGTTCATAACTCTTTACTGAGTTGATAATAAATATAAATATATTATATTCTAAATTTAATACTACTTATATTACTATTAATCATTTTAGCCTTAATAATAAAATTATAATAATAATTACAGACAATGCTTTTAATATAAATCTATTCAGAAATAAGTTTGTATAATTATTATTAAATAATTATAAAAATATAGCCTTTTGTTATATTAAATATACTGCATATATCCTTAATTTGATAGCAAAAAATGATTTTAATAAAGTATAACTTTTAGTTAAAAAAGTTAGAGTATGGTGACTTAGTGAAGTGAATAAGTTGTCATACCCCCAAGTGGTAGATTGTGAGTTTAAAACCCATTGATAGTGAAATTTGGATAATTACCTATGTAATATATAGACAGTATTATAGTAATGATGTTTTGTTGATCAGTTGGGATAGAATATCTGTAACTATGATCACACCAACATAACTGGCAGGTCTGAAGCATCTGTATAACTTGTTACACAAAGGAATGCAAACCAGTACCAGGTAGTGCAAACTTAAAATAAGTTCTCAGATTATATAAATCTGTAGAACTAAGAGCTAAAACCTACTTGGAAATTCTGAGCAGAGAGATAATATGGATCTTTGACAGTACTACTATAAAGACTAGACCTAGAAAATGGATACCAATGTGAAGGATTTAGACAGACAAAAACCTCAGATGAGGAGTACCACCAATTAGGCCGGCAGATTTCAGACTGAAGGAAAAGGATATTGGATTGACCTCAATATACCAAGGACAGGTCACAGTCCTTCTGGGCTATCTGGATTTGGAGTCTGATTCAAAGCAAAGATATACTAAAAGTACTAGAGATATGCTATGAAGTCAGTACTGGGGTCTGGGTGAACTCTGTAAGGGTAGCCTATATTAGTGTTCTAAAAATAAGTAGATAGTTAACAACAGAAGGCCTTCTGCATCTTACTGACAAGTAATGTATTCTGAATATGTAATGGTCTGGAAACCAGTACACAAAGAGTAGGTAACCATACTGCTTAGATGGTATACTAGGTAGGTATATACAGAAGGTAAGTTGGAGATTCCAATATGACAAAGCAGATGATCAAAGAGTTTAAAATGAATAATCTCCTAGTAGATTATAGGTATGGCATCTAGTATAGAACCTTAGAGCAGACTACTTAAATAGACAACCAAAAGTTGCACATGTGACTAGCTGTACTCTCATCTCTGTAAAAATAGTTGTAATAGCTAATCTGATATAAAGTCAATAAAGTATTGTCACAAGTATAGTCTTTAAAAAATAAAAAAAAATAAAAATAATTTAAAAATTTATAAGTACTATAGTTTTATCTTAAATTATATTTGAAGTATTAAAAAAAATTTTTTTTTTTGGTATTAAGATAAGGCCTTGCTTATATCTTTATTAATAATTTAAAATAGTCACATATATATATACTATAGCTGAGACTAATACTTGCAGTTAGGGCTAACCATTAAACTGCTAACTATATAGCTACTACTATTTATACAAACCAAATAAAATAAAAATTATATGCAAAAATAAAAGCTTAGACTAGTTTATCTGTAACCTAAACCTACTATAGTAGTCAAAGCTTACCTAGATTTGAATGTTTAATATATAATTTAATAATATACTATATTTGATCTATAAGATGAACCAAATGTTAATTTTGCGAATTGCTTGGCCAATTGAAGAACATGTATTTGAATAAAAATTTAATTGATCAGGAAGTTCACAAAGCCATAAGTAAGTATAGTCTTTTCGAGATTGAGTATGTTTTCTAATTGAATTAGAAGATCTTGAAGATTGGTTAATTGGTTGAGATTGGAATTTGTTTTGTTGATTTTTTTAATTGGAGAAGTGGATACAATATGTTTTCCATAGTTGCTTATATGATTGTTTATTAATATTAAGAAGAATATTAATAATAACTAAAAAGGCCATTTTGTATGAAATGTCAGAGTTTAGAATTATTGATATAAAAGACTTTGAAATAAGTCCTTTAAGAGTAAGATTTGAATAATAAGTATTAGATAATATATATAGAGAATTAAGAGCTGGTTGATAAAGAATTTTGTTAATTAGATTATATTTATAGTTGGTATTAAGATCAGGCAAGTTATTAAAAATAATTTGGTTAGTAGAAGTTTGGATAATTTAATCGAGTAAGGATGAATTAGCACAAGTATGCCAGTGGAAATGAGAATTAGATAAGTTACAAAAGAAGCAAGTAGTGTCTGAATATTGGCTTGAATAAATAGTATGATATAATGAGTATATTGGCAACTCATTAAGAAGAATTTTTGTTTTAAAAGATTTTAGTTGATTAAGTCTAAAGTTGGTAATATTGTATAAGGATTTTTGATTATGATTGAAATAAAGCCAAGTGGATCTCCAATCAATGTCTTGATTGAAGTATGATCACTTACTGTTTTATTTTTGTAATGCCCATATAGCTAAGATATAGGCTTTACAGATTTATTTGATGAAGTATCTTGTAAGAAGTTCTACATAATGGTGTACCATGAAGAATATGATAAGGGTTGTAAAGATTTGTGTAGTTAAATAAAAGAAGTAGTGACAATGAATGTTGTTTAGTAAGAGAGTCTACTTGCTTATTAAGATACTTATCTAAATAAGCTTGTACTTTGTGAAAGGTAATTTGTAATTTGTATGATTTAATAATATTTAAAAAAATGTGCCAAATTGGCTATGAATTGAATTTGAATAACTTATTAGGGTGGATTAACTTAAGTTAAAGATTATTAAATTTAGAGATTACTGATTGAGAGTCTGTAAAGATATTAATAATACAGTTTTAAGGAGTAGTTAAAATTGCAGTAATGATTAAAAAGAGTTCTGCTTTGTAAGATGAAGGCCAGAATTTAATTTTAGTAGAAAAGGAATTAATAATTTGATTGTTATTGTTGACTTGAATCCAACCAATACCCATTGTGCATTGGTCAGTACCAATGTCAATTACAGATCTATTAGTATAGAAAGATAGTTTCTGGTAAGAGAGGTTGTGATATGAAATAGATATAAGTTTGATAGTAGATTCTCTTGGAATAAAGATTTCAAAAAAGATAGAGTTGATAATAGAAATATTAGATAGAGGAGAAATGTGTATCAAATGTTTTACAGCTATAGAGCAGATAAGGTTCAAGTAGTTGGCGTTGAGGTTAAGTTGGTACTTTGAGTTAGTTCTGTTAAGGAATTGTACAAAAATAATTGCAGAAACTTCAACAGTACAGGTTTGATTAATTCTATGAGAATTAAGATGACATCCTATATATTGTTTGTAGCTGACAGGAGGTAAAGGGTAAAATTTTGTGTAGTTTAAGTCTATATTAGAGGTTCAATAAGTAATAGAGTAGTGATTAGAAGATGAAAAATATTTTCATATTTTTTTAATAATAATTTCATTATTGTATTATAAGAGTAGCCAGAGTTTGGATTTAGTAAGTTTTTTGGATATATTAATGGTATGATAAGCATAAAAGTTGTGGCCTAGTAATTGGTAATATGATAAGATATTTTGATAATAATAGTATGCTAAGATTGTATCTTCTAAGTATGAGAACCAGAAGGGTTTTTTGCCTTTAGATAAGTATAATAATCTTGGTGAGTGATGTTTCCAGTCAAGTAAAGTGCTATTATCTGCAGTGCAGAGTTGTTCGAGATACATAATGTTTAATTGTCTAAGTTGTTTTTTAAAAGTTGGATATTTTGGATGCTATAATAGAATAGACTTTAATAATAGGCTGCCATTACTAATTGTGTGGAACTAAGTCAAGTTGGAGTTAACTGAGATGCTTAACCTAAGATGAGAGAGAAGTTGAGTAATTTTAAAATTTAATAAGTGTCTGTTAGAACCATCTATAGTAGGTTTGGGGTAATGTAATATACTAGTAGAGAACTATAAGTTGTTTTGTAATTGTTGAAGTCTAATTTGAGTTGTAATACCAAGAAGGCCAGAATTGTTAATTCATTGGAGATAGTTAGAGATGTGGTGTTGAAGTTGGATATCCCAGATATTATGTATATTGTATAGAAATGGATTAAGCATTGTACTGTTTAGTATAGATCTAGAAAGATAAAATTTGTGTTTAGCTACAGTAAGGTATTTGGATAAGATTTGGTTGTATACAGTATGAGAAAGGATTATGTTATAAAGTCTGTATTCTAAAGTTGGAATAATAATTGTATTGATAATGTAAGCAATTTGTTTGTCAGTAATTTTCTTTGTATTAGCTATGTTAATAAGACTAAAGGCCTCTTTTTTTATTAGTTTAATGGTTTGAGAGTGTTTGTTGTTGAGTGTAAACTAATATCCAAGAAACTTGAATGGTTGGTTTTTAGAAATAGAGTAAATTAGTGATCTGAAGAACCACAAAGAGAAGGTAAAAGAATTTGTAGCTAGAATAAACTTAGTTGGATTAATTTGAATATTAGCTATATGGTAGAAGGAAGTAGCAGTTTTGGTTATTAGGTTGAATTCATCTTTGGATTT